AGTATTTTAGAAAAAAGTTCTTTGCGGTATTTATGCAAGTACATACCAAGTACTTTGGTTTTCAGTATATTAGCAAGTTTTCAATACATTACCAAGTAGCAGGTGATACAGCAAGCTGGCAGGTACTTTGGCAAGTTCAACAAGTTTTTCGTGAATATCTAAGCTTCTAGACGTCCGATTAACACGGGACGAACACCAATCGATCCCAAATTTTCTCCCTCATACTTTGATTGCCAAAGCGACGCGGAGCGAGCCAAGATATCTTGTTTAAATATCCATTTGAGTAGGATTGCGGGTTTTTTGAAGCGCTGAGTTTTTGCAGCGAGCTTTTTCTCTTAGGGCCTGCGAGATACCCGCGGAAACACATATCTCTTCAGCATTGCGCGCCACACAGGAATGCGGCTGATTCACGTGCTTTTGTGAGCGAGGTGCTTCCCTCCGGGAGAAATTCGCCGTCCCCATATGCTTAACACGGAGCCGAGCGGCGGCTGACAGGTGGCCGGCTCTCGGGAGATCGGCAGCCGACACTCGAAAAATCGACAAGCCGCCGCTGAATGCGCGTGCGAAGATGAGCGGGGTGCCGCCGTTCCGGAGAGACGGCTGGAAAATTCCACCGGCCGGCCCGGCGGCAGTGTGTTGGGCGGCGGGCGGCGGGGCGGGGTTTCCCCGTCCAGCGGCCGGCAGCGCTGAGCCGAGTCGTTCCCACGGTCTGGCGGCCAGCTGGGTGGGGGCGGGGTGGGGAGTGGGGCGGCCGATTGCCAGCCGCTTCTCCACGGGTAGGTGCTGCCACCTGCGCAGTAGTTCCACTGGCGGCCGCCAGGCCCGTGTGCGGGCCGTGCGCGGTAGTTCCGCCAGCGGCCGCCAGAGGTCACGCGCGTCGTGTCTAACCTGACGAAGCTACAAAAAGTTAGATAACTTTGATAAGAGGGACGGTAAAGCCACAATTCCAACGCTGAATGTTGGGCAAAAGCAAAGGGATCCAACACAGCCATCTGTATTTACTGTATTTACCCTTTTCTGTCAGCGATAAGCCCCAGCAATCGCACCGCTGTAAAACTCGCAAGCTGTTCACCGTGCAGGGTATTGCATTATAACCACCCACCGGCTCTCTCAACGTATGTGTAATCGCTTAATAGGTAGGACGCTAAAACAAGTTAGAAATGATAGGTAGGTGAAACAAAATACAAATTGGGAACAAGTATAATTCAAATTACAAATAATTCATTGGAACAAATCAAAATTATCTGAGACCAAGGCAAATTCGCAAAGTCTTTGATCGACTAAAGCCGTCTGATTTAAACGTCGGAAAGGAACAAGTTCTTTGCGGTATTTAGGCAAGTAAATACCAAGTACTTTGGCAGGTTTTCAGTACATTAGCAAGTTTTCAGTACATTACCAAGTAGCAGGTGATACAGCAAGCTGGCAGGTACTTTGGCAGGTTCAACAAGTTTTTCGTGAATATCTAAGCTTCTAGACGTCCGATTAACACGGGACGAACACCAATCGATCCCAAATTTTCTCCCTCATACTTTGATTGCCAAAGCGACGCGGAGCGAGCCAAGATATCTTGTATAATATACCATTTGAGTAGGATTGCGGGTTTTTTGAAACGCTCAGTTTTTGCAGCGAGCTTTTTCTCTTAGGGCTTGCGAGATAGCTGCGTACACACATATCTCTTCAGCATTAGACGATAACAAGGAATGCGGCTGATTCACGTGCGATTGTGAGCGAGGTGCTTCCCTCCGGGAGAAATTCGCCGTCCCCATATGCTTAACACAGAGCCGAGCGGCGGCTGACAGGTGGCCGGCTCTCGGGAGATCGGCAGCCGACACTCGAAAAATCGACAAGCCGCCGCTGAATGCGCGTGCGGCAGTGCTGAGCCGAGTCGTTCCCACGGTCTGAGGTACCCCCAGTTTGAAGATTCGGCTGTAGAATATGTAGTTTTAAATACGTAGTTTGACGTACATCTCGGAAAAGTGAGATACGGCCAGAAATGAGTGTGGGTCCCTCCGTTCTGAAGATTCTGATCGACGCCGATTGAAATAATTCGCCGTGCATATCTCGGCTTATTGACGACCGATTGACACGGGATAAACACCGATCGATACCAAATGGCTCTGTGGGGGGGGGGAGTAGAGTGGCAAGTTTTCCTACCCGACGAACCCGGAATTATCCCGAGGGGGTAGGTGTGGGAGTAGAGTCGGGGGAACGGGGGGGCGAGTGCAAGTACCAAGTACTTTCGCAAGTACCAAGCAAGTACCAAGTACTTTTACAAGTACCAAGCAAGTACCAAGTACTTATGGAAATACCAAGCAAGTACCAAGTACTTTGGCAAATACCGAGTACTTATGCAAATACCAAGCAAGTACCAAGTACTTTGGCAAGTACCGAGTACTTTGGCAAGTACCAAGCAAGTACCAAGTACTTTTGCAAGTTCAGCAAGTTTTTCGCCAATATCGAAGCTTCTAGACGTCCGATCGTCACCGGAAAAACACCATTCGATCCCAAATTTTCTCCGAAATCTTTTCATGGCCAAAGCGACGCGGAGCGAGCCAAGATATCTTGTTTAAATATCCATTTGAGTAGGATTTCGGGTTTTTTGAAACGCTCAGTTTTTGCAGCGAGCTTTTCCTGTTAGGGCTTGCGAGATAGCTGCGTACACACATATCTCTTCAGCATTAGACGATAACAAGGAATGCGGCTGATTCACGTGCTTTTGTGAGCGAGGTGCTTCCCTCCGGGAGAAATTCGCCGTCCCCATATGCTTAACACAGAGCCGAGCGGCGGCTGACAGGTGGCCGGCTCTCGGGAGATCGGCAGCCGACACTCGAAAAATCGACAAGCCGCCGCTGAATGCGCGTGCGGCAGTGCTGAGCCGAGTCGTTCCCACGGTCTGAGGTACCCCCAGTTGGAAGATTCGGCTGTAGAATATGTAGTTTTAAATACGTAGTTTGACGTACATCTCGGAAAAGTGAGATACGGCCAGAAATGAGTGTGGGTCCCTCCGTTCTGAAGATTCTGATCGACGCCGATTGAAATAATTCGCCGTGCATATCTCGGCTTATTGACGACCGATTGACACGGGATAAACACCGATCGATACCAAATGGCTCTGTGGGGGGGGGGGAGTAGAGTGGCAAGTTTTCCTACCCGACGAACCCGGAATTATCCCGAGGGGTAGGTGTGGGAGTAGAGTCGGGGGAACGGGGGGGGCGAGTGCAAGTACCAAGTACTTTCGCAAGTACCAAGCAAGTACCAAGTACTTTTACAAGTACCAAGCAAGTACCAAGTACTTATGGAAATACCAAGCAAGTACCAAGTACTTTGGCAAGTACCGAGTACTTTGGCAAGTACCAAGCAAGTACCAAGTACTTTTGCAAGTTCAGCAAGTTTTTCGCCAATATCGAAGCTTCTAGACGTCCGATCGTCACCGGAAAAACACCATTCGATCCCAATTTTTCTCCCGAATCTTTTTATGGCCAAAGCGACGCGGAGCGAGCCAAGATATCTTGTATAACTATTCTATTTGCGTGGGTTTGCGGGTTATTTGAAGTGCTCAGTTTTTGCAGCGAGCTTTTCCTCTTAGGGCCTGCGAGATATCTGCGTACACACATATCCCTTCAGCATTAGACGTTGACCAGGAATGCGGCTGAATTCACGTGCGATTGTGAGTGAGGTACCCTCAGTTTGAAGATTCGGCTGTAGAATATGTAGTTTTAAATACGTAGTTTGACGTAGATCTCGGAAAAGTGAGATACCCCATATGCTTAACACAGAGCCGAGCGGCGGCTGACAGGTGGCCGGCTCTCGGGAGATCGGCAGCCGACACTCGAAAAATCGACAAGCCGCCGCTGAATGCGCGTGCGGCAGTGCCGAGCCGAGTCGTTCCCACGGTCTGGCGGCCAGCTGGGTGGGGGCGGGGTGGGGAGTGGGGCGGCCGATTGCCAGCCGCTTCTCCACGGGCAGGTGCTGCCACCTGCGCAGTAGTTCCACTGGCGGCCGCCAGGCCCGTGCGGCAAGCGGGCCGTGCGCGGTAGTTCCGCCAGCGGCCGCCAGATGGATACCGCCGCGCGCGTCGTGTCTAACCTGACGAAGCTACAAAAAGTTAGATAACTTTAATAAGAGGGACGGTAAAGCCACAATTCCAACGCTGAATGTTGGGCAAAAGCAAAGGGATCCAACACAGCCATCTGTATTTACTGTATTTACCCTTTTCAGTCAGCGATAAGCCCCAGCAATCGCACCGCTGCAAAACTCGCAAGCTGTTCACCGTGCAGGGTATTGCATTATAACCACCCACCGGCTCTTTCAACGTATGTGTAATTGCTAAAGAGGTAGGACGCATAAAGCAGGTACTTTGACAAGTTCAACAAGTTTTTCGTGAATATCTAAGCTTCTAGACGTCCGATTAACACGGGACGAACACCAATCGACCCCAAATTTTCTCCCTCATACTTTGATTGCCAAAGCGACGCGGAGCGAGCCAAGATATCTTGTCTAGCGCCATCTGAGAAAGTCCATTTCTTCTCTCCATTATATCGAAAAGCCCATCAATTTCTTACTAACTGAACCAGTCACTTATAGCTTATCTCCCATTTGCCCCATGAGAGTGCATCACCTATCCGTGCTTCTATCCTCAGGATACTGAAATCCTTCTCCTCCACACCGCAACCCCCTTCCGGGCTGGACAGGCAACTTTATCTCATGCGGGCTGCTCCCTTGGAGCGGCACCGCTGCTCCCGAGGGAGCGCACCCCGTAGCCGGGTGCAGTGAGTGCCTTGGGGCTGGGTGGCCTGTCTTCGGACGGGCTCAGCCCCGGCGACTCACTAGGGTGCCTGCCCAGACCAATGTCTCCCCCTAATTCCTATCATCCTTCCGGCTCTGCAATGGTCTTGTCGACCGAAAGGGCCTAACCCAACAAAACAAACAAACAAACTGAGAGTGCATGAGTAATGAGTTAGCCTCCACGTTTGACCCATGTTCCCCCTCACTCTCCACAGAAAAACGAGAACCGTGTGGCCTCTGACGAGGACCTGAAGCTCTCCGACCTGTTGCGTTACTACCAGCGCGACGCCACGGCCGTCAAGAGTCTGCTGTTCCGCCGTCTGCGCTGCCTCGCCGACTACGAGCAGGCGAACAAGGCGCTGGAGAAAGCGCGCGCCAAGAACAAGGATGTGCCGGTGGTGAGTTTTTGATGGTGGAAAGGGTGTTAAGGGTGTATTGGGGTGATGCATGTGTGCGAAGAGGGCTTGGGATGTGTATGATGCTTCTGTGGGGAGGGAAAGTGTCGTTTTGGGGCGTGCAAATACTGCTTGATAGAAGGAGCTTGTGTAACTTCGCTTAGTCCGTAAATGCTAAAGTTCGCTTTTGCAAAGCTTATGAGCTTATTGAGGGCCAATATATGCTTTTAACACTAACTGTTGATACATAATTGATGAGCATTTGCTGAACTAGATGCAGAGGCGTTTATTTTAGACCAGGACGTGTTTTCTGTGTGTCCCTCATGGTGTGTATATGTTGCAGGCACTTTAGAAAATCAGTCATTTTGTAAAATGCCTAGGCATTTTACAAAAAGACGGCTGTTTGAAAAATGACTGAACGCAGCCAGGCTTTTTTCAAAATGGCTAGCCATTTTACAAAATGACTAGGCATTTTGCAAAATGCCTGACCAGCATGGAACGTAGATCCCACTACAGATACTATGGCCAACAGTTTTTGGACGTCTTCCTATACCCTATAGGTACGTGTTCAGCCTGTAGCTGATCGATTTGAAGCTCTCTCTGTGGTGACGACAATGCTGAGTAACGACCAGGTTGAGTTGCCGACTCGGCTGTAGCATAAAGCATTGTTTAGTTAACGCTGTAAAAACTCCCAAGTACATCAACGCCGTTCATGTTCTGCCTGAAACTAGACCTAACAAAACCAGCCGGAGACCGGCCCTAGTCAATAGGCAGGCCCGGTTGATGATGTATCATCAGGTCGCTTGGCGTAGGACGAGAGCGTTGGATTCAGAAGACACTAATGCCGAAGTGTGTGGGATCGAATCCTCGCGACCTCTAATAGTTATACAGATACAGGCCGGCATAGGGCCAGTCGTTTGTTGACGCTCCAGATCGATCATTTTAAATCCAGCAGCGTCGCTGACGTGGGGGTTGGAAATGTCGCGGGCCTGCACTTCTCAAAATAGAGGTAGGTATGGACTTCCCACTGCTGGACTCCTCTGGTCCTAATGCTGGACTCCTCGGTCCACCTACACGCTACCAAAACGTATATAATTAGGTACTCGTATCTACAACACGCTGCTCAGTCATTTTGTAAAATGGCTAGGTATTTTGTAAAATGCCTAGGCATTTCGCAAAATTACTGGAGAGTCAGTCATTTTGTAAAATGCCTAGGCTTTTTGCAAAAAGCCTGGAAAATCAGGCATTTTGCAAAATGCCTAGGCATTTTACAAAATGACTGATTTTCTAAAGTGCCTGCAACATATACAATGCGTCGTTGTTGCTTTACTACAATGATCACGTCTTGTTGCTGCCTCTTTCGCTAACGCTGCCGGCTGTTTTCCGTCGCTTGCCAAGGCTGTGGAGGTGGTGGACGTAAGTGGAATAACGAATTATATTTACTTAACTCGGTCACAGTGTGATTTGAACAGTCCATTTGAGAGAATTATTGTTCTGATGAAACCGAATTAGGCTGGAATGTTAGCCCGAATCGTAGCATAATCATTCGCTGTGTTATTGTTGAGCGAAATACCTGGGGCCGATCCATGCCAAACAGTGGCGTGTTTCTTCGCTATGGCCTCGGCGTGGCTGTGGCATGACGTTAGCGGCATTTGGCAGCGCCCGGTGGCCGGGCGGTCACCTGTGCATACAGAGGCCGCCCCCGGACTGCGGCGGCTCGTCATTGTTTTCCCCCCCGAGCCCGGCCGGGCCCCAACACTGCAGCCTGTCAGCAACTGGCGCCCCCGGCATTTGGTCTGGCAGGGGGACCACTGTCTCCTCCCTGACCCCAGTCGCCACCCGTTCTGTATCTGTCTCTGTGTATCCACGGCACCACATAGCTTTGTTCCTTCTCTCTGGCGACCACAAGCTCGGTACTCCTAGCAACAGGCTGTGTTCTGCTTGAGGCGCCCAGCTTGCATATTTTATTCTACCTTCTTGCGAAAATCCTTTTTCAGTCGACCTCCCAAAACGCACAACAAACTCAAAGCCATTCAACGTTCAGTGGCATTTATATTGTTACGTTATTTGTTGGTTTGGTGGATATATGTAAACAACTTTTGATGTCTTGCATATTAAGTGTGAGCGTTTGCTATGATGCCATATGGTACTAGCTTTCTCGGAGGCTTGTATTACCGAACTTTTGACGTGTTGTGCCTGGGTTTGCAGGCTGAAATGGGCCAACAGCAGGCGTGTGAGAAGTTTGAGCACATCTCCACCAGGGCAAAACAAGGTACGGCTTGGGAACAGAGTGTGGGAGGGGTGAATGTGACAGGAGGCTATGCCAGGATGGGACGGGATGCGATCACAGGTCAACAAATTTATCGCTGTATTGATATTTGATGGGCAAGGTGTAGATTCGGGACGGTAGATGGGACTGAAGCCACCGGTTGGACTCGGGCTGTGTGGAGGGCGGAGGAGGGAGTGGAAGGGATGGCCAATGACCCTTGCAGTGCCATGCGGAATAATCTGTACCTGACACTGGTCCGTCATCGCTGGTGTGTTAGGTGGGGTTACTTGTGTGATAGAGGGACATGAACCGCAAATCGACACACCCCTGAAGATTGATGAGCTCGCTTGAAAGAAACCGAAGCTCCACTCTAAAGCAGAATGGCTTGGGGAAGGGCAAAACAGAACTGTGCCCGAATTGACGAACACCTAAATATTTCGGCACGGAGACTCAGCTCCCTGCCTCGTAGGTCGTCCACCTCCGAGAAGGAAGAATGACCGATAGTCCACGCGTGTATTTCATCCGAGAGCCAACATTGCGTCTTTGGGCGTGCACGCTTGTGAGAGACGAGTGCTTGTGAAAGCCAACATACATGTTTAAACACGAAGCGGGCGAGCCGTGCCCCTGCCTGCAAAGAGCCAACATTACGCTCCCGGGTCTCCCACCGCGCAGTTTCTATGTGGTCAGTCGCTGCCACCTTCTCTCCGCCTCTCTTTGATTCATTGGTACACCGGTCCGCCCTTAGCGGCGCTCTAAATTCACCTCCGCAGCCCCTCCCGCCGGGCCTGATGGAGCTATTTGCGAGGCTTTGTTCTCCGTGCCCTGCCTAGCAGTGTTTGTTTTTCACAGAGCAGTCGTGTTTGCAGCAAGTTTTAAAGGCACCCGGCACCGCAGCGCGGTCAAGTTTGTTGGCGAATGTTGAGCAATGTTTCCCAGGGTGAACGAACACTGAGTGATATAGTGCAGGGTTTGGGGCACAGTTGGGGCTTTTGTACATTGTTCTCACTTCTCAGTCTGGCGTGTCTTATGATTGATACGCTTGTTTTGTGTGAAATGGTGGGTATTGCGTGGTATCGCTATTTCTCAGGATAGTCAGGGTCTTCACATTATGTCGGAAGTGGTTTATGTTCTCGTGCTCGGCCGTAAAGCTGTTGTGAATGCTGGCGATGGAGCCGTTTCCGCAGAGTTGTCGCTGATTTACGCGCCGTGCTGGCCAACAGCTCCTTCACGACTGACGAAGGCGTCTGCTTTCAGAGCTGAAAAGCTTCAAAATCCGGAGGGTTAAGGCGTTTAAAAAGCACCTAGTGGAGCTTTCGGAGCTGGAAATCAAGCACGCAAAGGTAAGTCAGCATAAAGTAACGCTATCACCAGATCAGCTATTCGCATGTCGTCTATGCCTAAAAGGCGTGCTGGAATTTTGCGTTGCTCTCCATAGCTCCGCATTGACAAAATTATGAATGATGGTTATGTGTCGCCGACTCTGTGGCTCCCCGAAAATGGGCGCACGAGCCTATGCCAGAATTTGTTATAGGTCACGTGCCGAGGTCAACGAATGTGCGTAAAAATGATAGTTTCGAAAATGAGGTCGATAGAATTTGGCGAGTGTGAATACATTATGAAGTGATCCGGTAAATACGTTTCGATTCGCTCGTTTTAACACATCGATTTAAACGATCTAACGTAACCTACTCGTTCGTATCATCGGAAATGTCAAAGTAATTCGCGACAGTTATGTAACTGAATGATGGCAGTTTTCACCAATGGATTGGTGAAAAAAGCAGCAAAAACAGAAAAATTACTACTTATATTTCTTGAGCATAGCTTTTTCGTAAACGGTTGGTTTGAACCTCATCACTCGTTGAACTTGGAATCGAAATCGCAACTGGTAATCTCAGCAAAGTTCAGATTTAAAAACAAAGTTTGCGTTGAGCAAATATATGGCGTTGTTTTTCACCCAGGCTAGACGTTCCTAGTTCTGTCTCTCCTAGAACTCTATCAGGAGAGCCACGTGATTGAACGTGACTAAAGTAACGACATCAATGTGTCTCAACCGTAATTGATTGATTTTGCGACTCCCTCAGTGCTGCTGCCAAGACATAATTTCTCGTGTCTTCCAGCCAATCGTGTCACAACAGAACCATCTGTTGAGGCTTCAAAGCGGCGACGCAAAAACTCTGGGAAGGGCTTGGCTGATCGGGCCGATGAAGCAACCCGTATAAATATCACAGACATTGGTTGTCTTAATTACCTACATAAATTACTGACTTTGGAAAATAAGCTGATCGGTTTCGTCAACTGATCCACGGACGTTCAGTGCATGGTTCTTATTTGTTTTGTCCCGTCTTAGCCATTCGATGAATAACTGAAACGAATTGTTAGGAATAAAGAATATCTGCGAGTAGGTGCTAACAACCACGTACTCTTGGCGGAAATTCCCAGTTAGGAAACGAACTTCAGCTTTCAGGACCGCGCACCCAACTACGTCAGAATGGGGGCTGGTTTATCGTTGGCATACCTACGCAAAATCATGTTCTGGACGTTGAAAGCCATGAAATATGCCAGCGTCCCTGTGTGTGACATCAATCTTTTTTTCTCGTTTGATAGAGTGGATGGTATTTGAATTGCGTCAATAATTATATAGGTACGAAGCAATTGTATCAACAGTAATGTTTCCATAACAACTTATCTTCTTGTATGTACCTGGGAATATTAATTGTCCGCCACAAATGAAACTTCCATGGATACTTTTTGAACATTACGTTTCTTTGCTATTTCTAGTCTTGCTCAAAATATGTGAGTACGTCCCTTTACCATCACCATGAGCACATTCTTAGCAGCTAAATCACTAATAAAAACCTCCCCTCGCGGGGTATTCCCAGGCACAAGTTGAGACGCTGCGGGGCTGCATAGCCACACTCAAGGCGACCACATAGACCTCGAGGAGCTTGCCCCTACCACCGGCTGGCCCGGCACGCGCCAAGAGACGCCTCCCCGCCCGGTCACCCCCCTAGACGCAGTATCTCAGTGAGAGGAACTGCGTGGGACCTCAGACACTGACGTGGAACCGATCGCTGGAAATCCAGGACTTGGAAATCACTGACGAGCCCGGATTTACCGGATCGGGTGCCAGTGCGTGTGTCAAACAGGAGCTATTTGATATTTCTGCGCCAACTGAACGACTTGTTGACGATTGTATCACACAACTGGACCTCTTTCTGTCTGAAATACTGCATCAGCACAAACCCCCCACCGAGAACAGGCATGGATCTACTCCCGGTGACGTCACTCTGTGTATGACATCACTCATAGACGTCTACGTTGAACCATGACACGCACTCGTGGCTACGCCCTGCTGGTGATTTCGATTGGCCTTCCCAACCGAGCGGTGATCCGTGGAAGGCTCTCCCACGCACAGCAGCCGCTGACTTACGCTCGGGGGCCGGCCGTGGTGGTGAGCCGGGCGGACGGGGGAGCTCTGTGGGCTGAGTCAGGTCGGTGATGTGTGGACCGCCTCGCGCTAACGTGGAATAGACCATCCAGTGGGGTAGGGGAATTCGCCGAGGCGCGTCCACCGCTGACAGCTGATGGTCGCCATATGCGGCTGAAACCAGGGGAGAGTTGTGGCCACGCACGATCGCGAGAAGCTGAACGGACGGAACCTCTGCGGTGGACCCACATTCGAGAAGCCCATCTGCGTTTGTTTGGAGAGGGTGATTGATGTGCCGAATCATGTCTCTTCTGCGGAGGGCGTGATTCTGGGTGAATTTCCCGTTCGGATTGTGACTGGACTAACGCGTGCTGTGGTGGGGTGTCTGCCGGGTGTCGGACCGAGCCCAGTTTGCTCCTGTGACGTCATGCCCACCGGGAGGGGCGGAACCAGCAGCATTCCAGTGGTGGCCGCTGGGTGACCGGACTGTGCTGCGGAGGCTATTCTTGTGGGTGGGTGGATGGGGTTCGTGGTCTATTCAGCCAAATTTGAAGTCTGTCAGGATGTTCTCAGTTTCGAGGGCAGAAAAATCAGTTTGCGTTACATTTATGAATGATTTATTTCCTTTCTGTGTCCAAACGTATGTCTAAGAAGCTCGTAAGATTTTCGTGGCTGGTTTAGTCGGCTGCTTTCCGTTTATGGGTTGGAGTTCCACGCATTGCCAAATGTCCAGTAAGAGCTCTATGCGCGACTCCTGTGTGTAAGGCTTGCGCGTCAACTGTGTGTTGACTGCTTATGGGATATATGTTAGCGTTTGGATAACTATCCTGCATGTGATATCCGTATATATTTATTGATACTGGCTGATAGTTACGTAGGCTATGCTTGGTGGCAAGTTCCGAGTTAGTTGAATTATGTACCGCGCAGATAGTCATTTGCTTTACATGCTTCTGTATGCAATGCGTCTCAAAATCATGTGTTTATTTTGTATCGCTCAATTATTCACTACCTTATGTTGTTATTGATTGTTGAACTGTATCCTCTTTCTAATGCTATGCGTGTGCTGTTGACAGCTTCATGTTTGTATGTACATGCTCAATGGAAATTGCCGTGCACAAGAGCTTGTCGAAATGACCTCTCCCGCTAAGGGTCTCTTTCTTGCCAGATTTGCACAGGTGCGTTACGCAGTGCGTTTGAACGCGCAGGCGACTCTATGTTTTCTCATTATTGGGCGACGTATTGGACTATCGTAGGCCACTGCCCAGAAACCGAGCTATGCTCTTCGCGTGCGTCCTACACCCTAAATGGGCGCGTATGGCAGTGTGGGGCTAGCGCACGGCGGATTGGAGGCTTTGTGTGGTCGCGTCGAAACGCGGTAAATCTGAGCAGTTTAGCGCAGTGGTATGGACATATCAGCCAATGCGGGATTTTAATCCTTCAAATATCAAGTTAAAAATAATCATGTTCTTACCAGATTACAGTTATTTTACAGTTATTTTGATATAAACACTGCATAGTCAGGCAACATTTTCTTGGTTGGCCGATATGTCCTTCTTTGATCGTAGAGGCTGTCACTATCGTCAGTTGTATCCCATCGGGCTAGTGCCTAGGGCCGCTCGAAAACACTGTTTCTCGTTCGGAAGATATCGATTATCGTCCCAGGTATGTCGCGTGCGTCACATTTGTAACTACGCCGCGCCGTGCTGTGCATGATCATAACTGCTGTGCGACAGCTGACTTGTATATCGGAGAATATAACTCGAGCTGTGATGGGTGGTTTTCATCGTCTGTCTCGCTTGGTCGGATCTCCCCTTCTGACCGTCCCGCCCGAACCCTGCCCTGCCCGTCGGAGACAGGGGAGCTGAACACCCCGAACAGTCGCCCGCTCACGGGTGACCACTGACGTGTCATCGGGCCCCACCGGCCAACGCAGTGCAATCGCGGCCGGCCCACGCGGGACCGCGGGCCCATCTGGCGTTGTTTGATTCACGGGCGGCGGGCGGCTTGACAGGCTACACCACACACGCTTCACCGCAGCTTCCGCTGCTTCTGGTTTGGAAGCCGTGCACATTCCTCCTAGAGCTTTCCCCATGGAAATGTGTATGTTGTTTATGGAAGACACATTGCTTGTTCTTCTGTCCTGACGCATCAGACACTTGCACCCCTGACTCTCACATACCGCGTAGGAGGGGTTATCTCTGTCGACCCCATGTCCTCCACACCGGGGGTGACGGAGCTTCCTGTGTCGATGGCGGCAACAAACAGGATGTGGGCACCACGGCGGGGTGGCCGGAAGGCCCCGGTGACATCATGAAACAACGCAGGGGTCGCGACGAGGGCGATAAAACAATGCGACGTTGGGGTAAAATACCAGCCCTGGCTGCTGACACCGGGACAAGTTGCGGCTAGCAATATGCGGCTATCTACATAGACCCGGGAACAGGGGGGGGGGGCAGCGGGGGCGCTTGCCCCCCCAACTTGAGAGCCGAGGGGGCGGCGCCCCCTCAACATTGAGGCAGCGAGAAAGGATCTTTCCTCACTTTTCCGGACTTCTTTCCTTCTTGTTTCCTTTATACATCTTAACATCAACACACGGCATTTAGTCCTTGCCATCTGAATGGTTTCTGCCGATACAGTATCGATTTGATAACATCTGCTATTGTCATTCCGCTTTGGTTTGGGCCTGACCTTGGCCAGAAGTTTGGCAGGCCAGATTTTATACTGGACCATTTTGAGTCAACTTTGAGAAATACATCACGCTATATACAGGTATAACACAGTTTACCCGCTCTGGGTGTGAGGAAGGGGTGTTGGGCAATGGGTGTTCTGACGTGGTGCCCTCGGAAGGCCGGTATGGGATTAAAGCTCAGCGACACTAAGGGCTTGTGTGGTGCCTTCGATTATCGGGTGCACCCTCAGAATCATCCTCAGAGCCGCCGGTAAGGGGCCTTTAGAGGCACTGGTCATGGTGTGGGGCCGTCATGCAGGTGCCCGTGTGGGCGCTCAGAGGTGCTAGTGTGATTCTCTCAGAGGCGCCGGTGAGGGTCCTTACAGGCGTTGCTGTGTGCCCTCATAGACGCTGGTATGGAGCCGTTACAGGCGGGTGTGGGGCCTTTACATAGAGCTGCTAGCGCCAACCCTCTAAAAGCCAGCAGGGGGCTCTCAGTGACCGGCAAGGGGCCCTTAGGACGGCAGAAGAAGTCCCCTGTGGTCATTAGAGACCGGCATGGTACTGTCAGACGCCGGTGGGGCCCTCAGAGTCACAGGTGTGGGACCCTCAAAAGTCATCAGTGGGTGACCTTTAGATGCGCAGGTGTTGGCCGTTGGGTCCTCAGAGCCGCAGATATAGGGCTTTAATAGGCACTGGTGTGGGCACTCAGAGTTGGGGTGTGTGAAACCCTCAGAGACACCGTTTTGGGCCCTCATAGGCGCCGATGAGGGTCCCCACAGTTGCCGTTATGGGCCCTCAGAAAAATAAGTGTAGGACCATCACAGGCGGGAAATGCCCCTAGAACTGACCCCTCATAGTCTGGTAAGAACTCTTAGAGGCTAGTAACGGGCCTTTGGAGACCACCGAGGAGCCCCTAAAAGCCGCCAAAGGCCCTCAGAAGCCGGCGTGGGGCCCTTATGGAGATCTTAGTCCGGCTATTTAGGGCCCATGAGGTGTTCTAATGAGCCCCATGGGGCCCTTCTGAGTCGAAATATGGCCATCGTTAACCCTCAGCGGTCAAATAGTGCCGCAGGGACCCTCGGACCCGAGTGTTGAACCCGATGGGGGAGGGGGGTACGTGTCCCCTTAGACCCCTAGCTACGCCACTGTCTCATATGTATCATGTGTCAGGTATTTTAGGCTCGCCCCCCCAACTTGAAAATCGTTCCCGGGCCCCTGGCTATCTATGAGGACGTAGGTAGGACGATTTTACAGTGGACGTCGGTGCTAAAGATCGGGACAGGAGTTCGCCTAGCTGGTTGTTAGATCGATGTTCTAATTTTGGGAAATTATTGAGCGTTCCGTGTGTGACTGCGGTACTGCTATTATGTGGCCGGTTTGTTGAGCGTAGTTTATGCCGACGTAGTTATAGTCTGTTTTTCGTATCTTCTACCTTCACTCAAAGATGTTTTGCCCCTCCAGCACGTTTTTTGGGTATAGTTTTCAAATCTTGACCGCATGGCCCACCACTCATTGCAAGAGTTTGTTGCTCGTGTTGGAGTTCGCCTTTGCTGCGCAGATAAAGTCGGAAAAGAAACCTTTAAGCTAGAGTATCGCTTGTATTATCGTTACCACGGTTTATTGGTACTGACTACCGACCTATACACAAGGACGTTTTGCTGTTCATAGGTACTTGCATTGTGCGAAGCGCTCTTGCTTAAAGTTTAAACCTTGCACTTCCTTTTCATTGGGTAAAAGAAGCTAAATGTGTTTTATGCTCTGCCATATTTTTTTCAAATGCTTTATTTATGTTTTGCTTTATTTACGTTGCGATAACTTTTACACCGACGAATAACAAAATTGTCTTAGCCCACGCCCGCTTGGGGGTCCCCAGGCAGATTTGCTTCATCTTACAGTTTTCCTATCTGCCTCACGCGATCATCCCGAAAAGTAAAAAAGATACGAAGACGCGGGCAAGAATCGATAGAGCTCTCAACAATTACTTTCAGCAGTATACGCAGGCCCATGTCACTCCACTTTTGATGACATCATAAGGGGGCCTCAGGACAATTAATGGCGCGGTGCGCCACAATCGCTCCCAAGCTACTGGCCAACAGCTGCCATTTTTGAAAATATTATTTTGAAATAAAGTTTCAAGTAATGAAAATATTTTAATGAAGTTGTAACTTAAATCTATACCATATCTAAAAACTTACTGAAAAATGATTTATCCATAGTAAAAATATAAGCTCGATGCGTTTTTACGTTGCTTTCCTGCTGCTGCAGAGGGTTTTTAAATCGTCTATATCTTCAAAACCGTTCAGATATAGTTCAGAAACACTCTTATACTTATACATATATACATATATACATACATATATACTTATACTTATACTTATACACTTATAGTTCAGAAACACTCCCAGCACTGCGGTCTTTTTGTGTTGGTCTGCCCATCAATAAATGAACGGCGAGCTACCGCTAAAATTCACCGCTTGTTCGTGAGTGACCGTGGATTTCAGTTCGAATCTATCTAACGATTTAAAACCTGACAGTGACCTGGTCACTCGCGATAACCGTCTCTTTTTCTGACCGTAAATGTAGAGAAGTAGTTGCAACTCGCAATCACCGAGCTTACGCCTTTCCGTTACCGCGTTTAGCTTCTGAACCATTTGGAAACTGCCCGCTCGTACCGGCCGGTTGTGAGCAGCCGTTACGTTAGTCTCGAACCTGGTAGATGAGGTGCCCAATGAGGTGTTGACGAGGTGCGCTGATGAAGCTCGCTCCCCGTTCCTGGCGCGTGGAACTGGACAGCTGGGAGGGTGATAAAGAACAGCTGTAACTGCGCCACCGACGGCTGCCGGCCGCCACGGCAGGCGGATTCGTCAGTCGGGTAGTCAGTCACCAGAGGAGATATATGGACTGTGGGCGCATCTTGCGTTCACAGTACTGCAGTGGACAGATGAGGTCATTTCCGGCTTTGATTTGCTCTGAATTGTAGCTGGATCGCTGTGAAATGAGTCGTCATCCATCCGGTTGGCAATTAATTTTATTAAATTAAACAGCACGGCTGGATTTAAGGCAACAAAGCCTGCGTGTTTTCTCAACTTTCCGCTGTGTCCATGCATTGCATACCAAAGCGTGACGAAATTTTCAGACTCAGGTCTTTCAAAGTCAGGTCACCAAAGTCACGTCAAGTGACCTAACCTCAGCGAAGGTTGTACTGCTCCGTGCTCGCCATAGCTACACCAACTGAACATTGTACGTACAACATATTGGTATCTCTGAATTCTGATATCAGTGACGACACCCAAAAGGTCATGTCAATTTCATCTCAATCAGGCATCAACATCACCCAGACAAATCAGTATCTGTTTCCTTGACATGCCACCAGCTTCAAAGAGGACTGACAGCTTGAAAGCGCTCACATTTCCTCCCGTCCAGCCGATCTCGATTCTCACCAGCTCGTCGCCGCCCTCAGTCTACCTCAGTCTACTCCGACGCCACGAGTAACACCTGTCCGTTCCTGATAGCGCCCCAGAGGTCACACGGGGTCACGCTATCGCGACCACACCGGCCCGTGTCGCCATACCGATTCTCGCGGAGCGTGGCGGCGTGTGGTGTTAGCGCGGGCTGATAGTGGGACAAAAAGTGTCATTTGTGCCTTGGAGACCAGCGTGGCGTATGTCTGTCACATGTAGGTATCCGTCGCAAACTGATAAACGTCAGGTGTGAAATCGATAAAGTGAATGGGGCTGTTTTTATCATGGATAGGTGGTTAGATGAATGTATTGCATGTTGGGTATGCTTTTTGAATGCACTAGTTAATGCCAATGTGCGTCATAATTCGAGCTTCGGAAGTCCATGTCATTTAAATGAGCGTTCGTCTGTCTTTATTCAATTAGTAACTTGGAGCTGGGAATAAAATGGTGATTGGCATTGTGTAATTAAACTCCAGTGACGAGCACCGTCGGAGAGCTACTTTTTATTTTCTCTAGGTGCGACTTGGCGTAGGATCGTGAATTGTGTCGCGCGGGGGTCGGAGCGCCAGGTCTCGCCGCCCAGAAAAAAAACTCAGAAGCTCCAGCCGACAACAAAATTAAATCGACACGTGATCAAA